CCCATACGACCAGCGGGTTCCTGTAAGAAAAGATGGTGGGCAACTTAGTTCTCTCTTAGGCTAACATGCTCCCAAGAGTACAGCTTTACCATGCTACAAATGCATCGCCTGGATGTTCCCCATTGTTGCGCCCCTAGTTCTAAGCGAGCCATGAGGAAGGCACAAGGCAAGGGAGGTTGGCCATGCCCCGCCCATAGTGTCAAAGTGGACTGTGACTTTCAGAAACTCCAAACCTAACAAAAGAGATGCAAAGGAATATAACTACACTCACTACCATACATTCCAAATATCAAGTTCAGGTCCCAATACCTCCTCAACCGTTGGAGTTTGTGAATGGCGGTTACGGTATGAAAAACCCACTTGCCACTGGAAGTACACCATTTCGAGACGAGACGACAGCGACAGCCAGCAATGACCAAGGGCAGTACAATTGTCGGATATGCGGAAAGGTGAGCATGACTTTCTAAAAATCTGAATTTTTTCTGGAGAATATCAGTCGAGTAGCAAATTAAGTATGCAATATAAGCCGACACTGACTACTTGATAGCACAATCGTTTTGGTGGAGTATGTGACTTATTGAGCTTGTGGCCAAGGTTGGTAAATATTTTATTAACGGTTGACGTTTCGGCGTCGTCGCCTTCTTCGGAACCTGGAAAGTCGAAAAACATTCAGGAAACCCTTCGTCCAAACACTATTTCAAGCTACAGGAAAATTCCAAAAGGGACGTAAACTACTAAGACGATGTCATAGAGCCCTGATAAACTGACCTTTAAGCAGTCGAACCACGGAGGTCCACCTATCACCCCTAACTGGTAATAATGCGGTTTAAATAGGGTACCCTAGGGACCACTTGCTCAAGGGGCCTCTAAAGGTCGATCACGTAGATCAAACAACTCTAAAGGCCACCATTGAGTACCTGCGCCGCCGACCCGCAATTAACCCCTACTATCGATTACTGTATAAGCCCCCGACCTCATCCGCCAGGACCCCGCGGGGGATTGACCGCGTAGGTCAAAACCCACAGAGGTCCGCGAAGGGTGCGAGCTCTGCAGTGACCGCCACACACTCTTCCCTCCTGTTGATCTTTTGACGTATGCAATATTATCGATGCCAAGGTTCATCGAAAGTCGAACGTGGAGAGTGCTTCGTTTTGGTGGAATTTCGCTTGGTGGGGCATTTCACTGAATCTCATTGATTACTGAAAATGCCTCCTGTTCACACTGCAAACTCCTGTAAAGCTAAGGTAAGAGCATGAGCTTTGTGACATTTGGCAAGAGTCTACTGGCCTAACCAAAACGATGGTTCTTGTTTAACAGGAACCAGCAAAAGGTGCATATGGCCCCTTCCAAGCCGAACGGCACCTCCAAAGATTCAAAAAATCATCTGTGGGACCATCCCATAAAAGTTTTCAACAAGAGAATCTTAAGTAGCAAATGCCGAGGTATAATTGAAGTAAGGTCTTAATAGATATAATAACTCGGATCTAAAGCTTAGCTCCCATTTACCAACCCTTTTCGTGCTCTACTAGGCATTCTATTTTTATTTAGGGTCGGTGTGGCGTTTTCAATGAAAACCGTTACAGTGGTATGGGGAAGCGGTGGGGAGGGGGAGGGAGGAGGACGCACACGTCAGTGGTTTTGTCCTGCCTTTCCCTAAGACCATGGCTGCTCGGTTTATGGGAGGGGGAAGGGACATTTTGCAATCTCTCTAGTTTCTTTTGCTAGTTCACGTTAAAGGCACGGTCCGCAAAAAAGGGGGTGTTGGTGTTGGCGGTTAAATGTGCAAGGGAAGTTGCCGAAAACTCATCCGTGAGGAAACACCTTTAGTATGACCCTTTCGATCAGCCTCGAAACAATTGCAAAATGCCAAAAAATCACTTGTTGGGGCGACTCCAGTTTGCTGACTCTTTGTGGACCCTATGACCCACAAGAGATAATGTAGCGTCCATTTAATGCTACTTGTCCGATAGCATCTCCTTGGGCTGGAAGGCGGGCAGAGTCTTGAGGCGGAGTCGCTGAAAAAACGGAGGTACGTTCCGGAGCAATTTTGCAGCATACCTCCCTACACCTACAACTGTCGCTCTAAAATTGGCGCAAGGTTGTTCACTGCGGACCACACTGCCTGCACACCCCCCCCCCCTCCCCATAACAGTCTTCTGCGTTTTTATAAGCCATCGCGGCCCATTTTCAACTGAAGCTTCCAACTTGATGAGACCTGTAAGCTCGTGTGAAACTGCTGAATGGCTCACTTTAGCTGCCTGAGTTCACAGGTCTTGACAAAGTGTACAACCTCCGCTGAAGACCATTTGGTGCCCCCATCAAACCCAGGCCGAACTGGGCCTCCCGGACCATGTGCGTGGTGAGCGGCATCGTCTGTCACTACAGAATTTCGGTTCTTTGTCTGTGCAGTAGCCTCGAAACGGTTACAGAAAACTTTAGGTAATTGAGATATATGTGTAAATAAGGGCCTAAATTAAGGGTCAACCAGTGGCCTCCTTCATGAAAATGAGTCTTTTCTACTACTTGGATCACTAACTCCTAATTACCAGTTACAGCTAACAACACTATATGCCATTTTCCTTTTGAAATTGTTCTTTATTTAGTGGCGTAGTGGTGCAAATATATAAACTTCAGAAAAACTCATTTCAGAAATTCGCTCTACAACGCCTTTTGAATCGTCACACCAAATGCCATTCCGATCTGAAACGATATCTATGCACATTCTGTGGAAAGGGATTCAATGACACGTTTGATTTGAAACGACACACGCGAACACACACAGGTACCGTACACCATTTGAGCAGTCCACACAGGACCGCCCTGAGCAGGCATTCAATGTATGTGTGGACATCGGGATGAATGGAAGGGCGGTGGCAGTATGCGCTCTTCATTTCCCCCTCCATTTCGGTACGACCACTATTCACAACCTAGACACCATATTATCAAGTATTCTCGGAATTTTGCGGAAGGGTTGAGTAGGGGAAGAGAGAAGAGGGTGTTATAGCGTACTTGGAAAGAAAACACCGGCGATCGGAAAATTTCCTTTCAAGGATAAATGCTACACCCTTCCCATCAACCCTTCCCTATGACCCTTTCCTTATGTGGTTTGCACAGATGGTGTACTCTGTCAAGAACGCTTCCACATCTTTTTCTTTTGATATGATCTCCTTTCGCTTTTGCCTTTTCTGGGCTTTTTAGGGCTTGATTGGCTCGAGCGGTAGTCGATCCGTTAATTGACCACCGGACAGCGAGCACAGCAAACGGCAGCATTTTCCACTGCCCCACCTCTGCCCCAATGTAGCCTATGATCCATCGAGTTGCATTTTCACCAGATGTTTGAGTTAGGAACTCGGATCATTAGTTGGGTCTCAGTGAGGAAAATGTGTGCAGTTCCGCTTGGTGAGGGCATTTTGCTGATTTCCATCGATCACCACCAATGTCTCCTGTGGTGACCTGTAAATTCCTGTAAAGTTATGCAATAGCATGGGCTTCATTTGCAGTTGACAAGAGCTATCAAGGCGAGACGTGTAAAAGGGAACTAGCAATTAGCGAAACTGCAGAATACTGTCCCTGCCCC